CTCATTTGACTATTCCGCATACACACAAGAAGCTGAAGTAATTGTAACTCTGACAGGTTCTTCCTCAATTTAGAAGTTCTTTCAACGCAACAAGCCACGGGCCTGCCTGTGACCCCCATCCTACCCTGTTTTCTTTCTGATTTTCAGTGGCCTCCTCCCATTCCCACAACTCCTGTGCAGTTAGTCTGGGCTCTCCAGGGGGGTCTTCCATGCGGGTGGGTATCCCAGGGCATGTAGAACGAGCCCTGGTGAAAGAGAGTTTTCCTTTTCATGTTGGAAGAAATTGTTCAGTTGGGAAATAATGAAGTTATAAACATCAGAATTGCAGGCTGGCGCCTAAACATCTATCCCATAAGCATTTTAGCAACATGGCCGAGGTGTAAGGCTGTGCATGTTGAATAAGCACAGCTGCATTTCTTTCGGTGATTACATACCCAGATAACTGCAGAGCATGTTTATAAATGCACATAGACTTTCCTCCCCTCTTGGGACACAGGGGCGGGGGGAGGGAGGGGTGGGGAATGTGTGTGTGGTAGGAGTCACCACGTAGAGAGTATGATTTTCAGGAGGGTTTAACTCCGTGAAGACCTTATGTCGACCAGTTCTCCACTTTCTGTCGGATGCCCAAAATTCCGCCACTAGACCTTTATCCAGGGGTTAAAGCTTTCATCCCTGTTAAAATGTAGTTACTTAACTTTAGATTGTTTTAGACATTTGCACCATGACGTGTGACATGCATAAGAATATCAGATTTTGAAAGCTGAAAAAGCCATCGGTTATGAAGTCACTGGCACTCGGTTTGAGTGTGTTGAGGAGGGAGGAGTGAAGCTGCAGCTGAGAAAGAAGAAAAGGCCAAGAAGGGAGTAGACTGGGAACATGAAGGGAATCTACATTTTCAAGAAATTTTGCCTAGGATTGTTTTCCTATTTCTGAAAACATTCCAATAAGAAAGTGATTCAGTCATATCAGACAAGGGTATATTTATGGGTGTGGCTTTTAGACAGATGAATGGATCTATACTTTCAGAGTTATAGCTCTAGAGACCAAGTGGAAAGCTAGAAAGAAAACATATAGACTTTGGCAGAAAGGATGCCCCAGCCATATAAAGAGGGGAGAGAAAGAGACTTGTGGGGACAGTGGGAGGATTGGAGGTGAGAGCTTCCTGGGATCTGGCCAGGCATCTAATCCCCTTGGTGGGAAACTTCAGGCGCCAATGCAAAATGAGCCTTCAAGAGGATGACAGGGGATCAGGACAAAACTCTAGAACAAAATATCTAGAACTAGGCTGTTTAGAGGGGGAAATAATAGAGAACTGGGGAGGAAATGATGGTGATAACATGCTTTTTTAAATCCAGTCAATGGAAGGATTCCCTCCCCACCTCCCTATTTGTGTACGATACCCAGACTCAGATCTGCCTGCAGCCTCAGTAACTTACTACTTCATAACATCATCATTTCTAAATTTCTGAGATAGATCTAATTTCAGACACTCAGTCCCATTGTTGGACACTATACTGTTTGGGGTTAGGAAATTGAGGTCTCTGTGTCCATACAAGTGTCCTTTGCCATATGGTGTGTAAAGCCCTTTCTATGCAAATTAAACAGGTAGGAACTCTCCTTCTCCCTTGTCCCTTCCTGTGACCTGCTTGGTACCCTTAGTTTCTTCTCTTGTTTAATAGCTTCATGATCCATCTTCTCCCTTGAGGCAGAAACCTGAGAAAATTCTGTTATCTATTGCTGCATAACAAATTACCTCAAAACTAAACAGCTTAAAAGAACAGAACTTAAACACAGTTTCTGAGAGTCAGAAATCCAGGAGCAGCTTAACTGGGTTGTTCTGGCCCAGGATCTCTTACAGTGTAGCAGTCAGCTGTCTGCCGGGGCCACAGACATCTCAAGGCTTGGCTGGAGCTGGAAGATCCTCTTCCAAACTCACGTGCAAGGTTGTTGACAGGCCTCAGATCCTCACTGACTGTGGGCTAGAGGCCTTCGTTCCTACCACGTGGGCTCCTCCATAGACTGCCTGAGTGTCCTCATGACATGGCCCCCCCTGCCCTGTCCTGAGGAAGTGAGGAGACACAGAGGAAAACCCCTAAAACAAAAGTCACAGATTTTTAAATAATCTGATCTCACAAGTGACATCACTTCTGCCATAGCCATCGGTCACACAGGCCAACCTGATACAATGTGGGAGGGGGCTACACAGGGGTGTGAATACCAGGGACAGGGGTCATTGGGGTCCATCTTGAAAGTTGGTTACCTCAGAGAGGCCTTCTGTTCCTTTTCCTGCAGCAAATCATTATGTCTTTCTGATTCTTCCTCTGCAGTGTTTCTCACATATGACCTCATCTCAAATCTGATTGTTTCTTCTGGAAAGAGGTAGGGAGGCTGATGGAGGAAGCCTTGGAGACCACATACCTAAGGGCACAGGTGGAATGCATAATAATATACCAGCATGACCTCCAACCCAAGCTTATCGGGAGAAGGAGAGCAAACACCTGGGCAAGCCAGTCTTTTGGGGGAGGATTTGCTCCCCGTGCAGGGAAGGGAAGACCTGTAGCACCAGAGTCACCCGAGGGAAATGAGATGCTGCGTGCAAAGGCAAGAGAGCACAGATACTTTCAGACTTGGCCTAAATACCCTAGGACTTAGGACCATAATATGGGGTCAGCTTCCCCTGTGCACAAGGCAGAGAAAGTCTTAGGCGATCTCTAGGCAAGGGCCTCCCACTTCCTGTGAGCATCACAAATAGGTTTATCTCCACAAGTCTACTTAGATTGGAAGTGGATTCCTACAGCTCATGAGCTGAGCAAAATTGTGGGATCCATTCTGCTTCAGTGAGAAAGAAAGCCTTGATCCTCAATGGCTGCCATGGTCAGAGGAAGAGGAGTTATACCTGCCATTTGGCCAGTGGCAATATACTCCCTTTCCACTGACCATACGTTTCCTCTTGGGATCCTTCCCTAAGATGGGGCTTTTGGGAAAAAACAGGTGGAATTTTCAGAACTTGAGCTGCTAAAGCATTCCCCCCCCACCCCACCCCAGGCAACAACCAGCAGTCCCGCCTAGGAGGAGGTGGCTTTAGGCAACTTTGTCATTAGGTTCTCAAACAACCTGAAGTTGGGCAGTTAACTAAGGCTAAGTCAATTAACCAGGGATCCAAGGGGACCAGGGTGGGAGCTCATCACTCACTGAAATCGATGGGGGATTCTGGGCCTTCCATGAAAATTTGCCTTTGTTCTTGTATCTATGTTTCTGGGACATAATCATAGGTTTATGGACCAGAACAGACAATAGAAGTCACATACCTGCCCCCCATCCCCATTTTGCATATGACTCAGAGAGGTCAAGGGACTTTTCCATAGCCATTTAATGAGTTGGTAACCCAGCCAGGACTAAAGTCTTCTGAATTTCTAATCTTCTTTCTCTGCCTCATGTCAATTCTATGAGTTATCACAGCATAGGCACTTCTAGGAGGTAGACTGCCTGTTTGCTCTAAGGTCCATTTTCTGCTCTTATTATGATCTCTGAATGACAAGGAACCTCATTTCTCAGGCTGCCTCGTCTTCTGGCTTCCTGTCAGGTTTGGCCAATGCGGGGCATTGATGGAACGTTTGAGAGTTGGTGAGAAACAAGATATTTACTCCCCTCTTTCTGCTTCTTTTGGCATCTCCATCAATGACTGAGTCTCCCTGGTCCCAGCACCCATTGGACATTCCCCACTGTGACTCTGGCTTCTGTCAAATGACCCTGCAACACCCAGTAACAGTAGCTCCTCCAACCTGCAGAGTCACAGCTCCTTACCACTGTGGCTAATCTCTGAGTTGCCTCACTCTCTCCCCTGTTTGGCTTCTCAGCACTTCTATTACTTGTATGACCAATTCCCTATATTAAATTACCTCTGTTTATTAAGTCCTAGACTGGTTTCTTTTTCCTTCCTGGACCCTGACTGATGGAGTGGGGCCATCATTCTGTGTGTTCTTGCTTATTGTAAGAACACAATAAATGTTCAGTCATAACAATGTTAACTAAAAAGGAAAACCAGTTTATGCGAGAGAGGTAGTGCTCTGCTCTATTATTTACTCTATAAATCAAGCTGATTAAAACTATATCATATTTGCCATAACTCCTGAAAAGCAAAAAGTAGAAACATTTTCCTAAGATGTCTTCCTGAGGGTCAGTCTGTACCTTCTCCTCTGTGGTGTTAAAAGAATAGATTTCTTTGATCTCATAGATTTTTTTTTCCATTTCTGTCTGTGACTTAATCATGGAAGGGATTGTTCTTGGTATGTGTGGGTTTGTGTTTTTTAACTGTAGCAGAATGAGCCCTAATGTGATGCCGTTGGTTTCCTACACTTGCTTTGGTAACAGCTCTGCACTTGGCCTTCCCGTCACAAGCCTGGTTGTTGTGACCTGCAGTCCTGTTGATATGCCAACCCCTGTTCTTGGCCTCCACACAAGGATTCCCACAAGGGTTCCATTTGGAGGTGGTGGTTTCCAAGATTGGGGGTATCTGTCCGCCAGCACTGGATTTGAGACCACCGGCTTGTTTGTTCTAAGTATTAATATCTCAGTGATCGCTAAACATATTTTCTTTTCCAGAATATTTTCCACAATTTTTTAAGAATGTCTCTAAAACTTTTTTCTTTCGAAGGCCTAAGGGCCTAAAGGGAGGGGCAAGGTTAATGTAAACTTTAACTTGGCAGACTAGTATTTAAAACTTTATCCAAAAAAATATTTTTCCCCTTAAAAAACAAACACACAAACAAACAAAAAACTCTCTTTACATGTTTAAGTAATTCATTTGGGAGAAATTACCACTCAGCTATTCACACAGCCCTTGGTAGTTTCAGTTCAAGATGCTCTGAAACCAGCCAGCTACAAAGTCTGAGATATTTTCTCTTGAAAGCTCAACTTAACTTTCGCTACCATGGTGGTGAGAAAAGTGACAACTCATTTTAAAGATTCTCCCCCTTTGTTTCTTTGTCTTTCTTCTGCAGGCCATGTGTTTATACTATGGGATCGCCCATAAACAACAGGGCCCTTTTTCCATGCCAGGAGCCACCCGTTGCCATGTCAACATGGCAGGCTACGGTTCGAGCAGCTGCATCTTTTGTTGTTTTAATGAGTGGGGAAAATTCTGCCAAGCCAACACAGCTTCGGGAAGGTACTGTACATGTGTTCTGTGCTTCTTTATGTATTGCACACATGCTGGACCCAGCAACCCAACACACAGTGTTTTTCTCCACTTTAAAAGAGCTCCTTTATTAGCTGGGTTGGACTGAACATACTATAAAACATCCTGTCAGAGAAAACAGCCCGGGATGGGGAGAGGAACTTGGAAGCCTAGGCATGGCATGTGGGGCTCTTCATGCCAGAGTTATCAATTCCTAGATTATTAAGGCAGCTGCTTTCAGCTGATGGTTTGTGGGCCATAAGTGGGTGCTCTTGGTTGAAGACTTTCTGGGCAGGCAAGTGTGCCATGGAAACACCATTATAGTAGAGTTATCTGTGGTTTGGTCATGGAGCCTGTACAGGGTTATTCATTATTCTGAGCGACAGTGCTCCTGTGGGCTGGCCCACTGGAGTCATCCTAGTATTGCATCTGTTCTGTACACTATTTGGCCATGAAGTTTTGTTTTGTTTTTTTAATTAATTTTATTTTTGGCTGTGTTGGGTCCTCGTTGCTGTGCGCGGGCTTTCTTTTAGTTGCAGTGAGCAGGGACCACTCTTCGTTGCAGCGTGCAGGCTTCTCATTGCGGTGGCTTCTCTTGCTGCAGAGCATGGGCTCTAGGCACAACGGCTTCAGTAGCTGTGGAGCACGGGCTCAGTAGTTGTGGCAAGCAGGCTCTAGAGTGCATGCTTCAGTAGTTGTGGCCCCCTGGCTTAGTTGCTCCGTGGCATGTGGAATCTTCCCGGACCAGGGATCAAACCCGTGTCCCCTGCACTGACAGGCGGATTCCTAACCACTGCGCCACCAGGGAAGCCCTGGCCATGAAGTTTTGAACCAAAGGTGTATAAGAAAGATGGAAGGCAAGTGCTAATGCATCATCAAGGTTTTGTCTGCGAATTTCTTGCTTATTGCAATAATTAACACTTTCAGTTGAGATCCTAGGCATGTTGATGCCAGGTAAAATTTCTGTAATTGTAATATTTCTTTATCTAAAATATGGTTTCTCCTTGGACTCTCAACCACTGTGCCACCGGGAGAGCCCCAAGTTGATAATTTTAATGTCTGCATAATATTTTATTGTATGAATGTATCAGATTTTACTTAACATTTCCATATTATTAGACATTTTTATTGTTTCCAAAGTTTTTTCTTATTATAAATAAAGTTGCATTAAATTCCTGGGGAGACAGTTTGTATAAAATTAGAATTATTGAGTCAAAAGTTTTGAACCTGTTTAAGGCTGGGTACATATCTCAAGTTGTTTTTCAGAAAGGTTGTACCAATTTACATATCCATCAGTAGTTTATGAAGGTCTCCTTTCCCTTGGAGTTTCACCCATCTGATAGGCAAGAGAAGGCCTCTCTTTAATTTGGATTACTTCAATTATCAATGAGGTTTCATACATCCCTATATGTTTCTTAACCGTTTTCATTTCCTGTTTGTTAATTTCCTTTGTTCATTTTTATATCGAGGTGTTAGTGAGGTTTCAAAAAGTTTGTTTTGTCTTCTAATATGATTGGGTCTTTAAAAAATAAAGATACTGGAACTTCCAGGTTAGTGAACACGTGGAGATGTGGGGAGAATTGTGTACCTGGAGAGGGCATGGAAGTTCCGTGCTCTTTCTCACGTACCTTGCCCTGTGCATCTCTTCCATCTGGCTGTTCCTGAGTTGAGTGTCCACTCGTCATCAAACCCAGCAGAAAAGTATGCAGGTCTGTTTCTTCGGGCCTTCATTTCCTTTGGAGGCTCCCGTGTCACATAAGACTTACATTACATAAATCTGTAAGCTATTCTTCTGTTTAAAAAATATACAAAATAGGGCTTCCCTGGTGGCGCAGTGGTTGAGAGTCCGCCTGCCGATGCAGGGTACCCGGGTTCGTGCCCCGGTCCGGGAAGATCCCACATGCCGCGGAGCGGCTGGGCCCGTGAGCCATGGCTGCTGAGCCTGCGCGTCCGGAGCCTGTGCTCTGTGGCGGGAGAGGCCACAACGGTGAGAGGCCCGCGTACCGCAAAAAAAAAAAAAAAAAATATATATATATATATATATATATATATAAAATAAAGATATTAATCTCTTACATTTGTGAAAAGTATTTTTCTCAGTTTTTAGTATACCTTTTAATTTTATATAATATTTCTAATCTATAGGAGATTTTAAATTTTATGTAATAAAATATGTTAGGTTTGTCTTGGGAAGTCTTTCTTTGCTCTACGATTCACCTGTTTTGTTCCAATATTTTTATTTAATTTTTATTTATTTATTTATTTTTGTAATTTCACTCTTTAATCTGTTTGTAGTTTATTCTGGTCAGGGTTGTGAAATGAGGACTAAACATTTTTGTCTTCGAATAGGAAACCGGTTATCCAAGATCATTTATTGAATCTTTTCTGATTTGTGATGCCTTCTTCATAAAAAAACTAGATTTACACATGTAATAAAGTCTTCAATGAATGTTTATTTGATTCTGAAAGTCAAAACAAAACAAATCATACATTTTAAAATTTCATTTCTAAAAATAAGCCACATTTACATGGTTCATTTACAAATGAGCAAAGGACAAAAAAATTTACGATGTCTCCTTTTTACTCCTAATTCCCAGCTACCCAGTAACCCTTCCCCAAGGCAACCAAGGTCACCAGTTTCCTTTGTATAGTATATTTTTTCCTCTTTTGTTGCACAAATCATAACATGCTATACACTTTTTTGTATTGTGCTTCCCTCTTTAGAATAAGTTTATCTTATAGATAATTTCGTATCTGACCATGAAGAGCTTCCTCAATATTTTTATGACTATAGAGTATTCCATAAATGGATGTTTCACAATTTAGTTAACCAATAGCTCTTGACTTCATTCTATATCAAATAAAGAATTTAATGGGCATTTACTTCTGTCAACTTCCCTCACCCACATTCTCTAGTTTTAATAAATACAGTTTGGGATTTGTGACTCATACTATCTCTATATTTTGTTTTTGTATTATATCTTATTTTCTAGGAATTATAATCGTTGTTTTACATTTTCATCCAGTTTCAAATTATATTTTTATATTTGCAATAAGTATTTAGACTTTCTTTACTCTTGATCTCTTAAGTCTGAGTCATCTCCTAGTCAGCTGGGAAAGGGCTTCACTATTTTTTTTTTCTTCCTAGAAGGATGGGTATGTGGTATATTTTCTTAGTCCTCCCATTTTTAGGTGAGCTTTTTGTTGTGTTTACTTATGAACAATCCTTGGCTAGGTATTAAATTCTTACTTCTTTTCCCTCTTAAATGACTATAAATGTTTTCATTACCATATCTTACTTAGTATTTCAGAGGAGAAATCTGATATCATTTTAAAAAATTCTTTGAAAGTAGCCTGATTATTCTGCCTAGGCTCATAGAATTTAAAAAAATTATTTATGTAATTCAAAACTTTCTAGAATGGAGCTGGTTGTGGGTACCTTGGTTTTTAATCAACTTAATTACAGTATAATTTATGTATAATGAAACGCACACAGTTCATCTTGTTCAATGGTGTTCGACAAAAAAATGCATCTAAGTAATTAATCAGCACCCCTATGAAGATGTAGAACATTTCTATTACCCTAGAAATTCCCTTGTGCCTTTGCCATCCCTCCTTAAGTGAGTCTTCCCTAACCCCACTCCAGTCAACCACTGATCTGATTTCCATATCTATAGATTAGTTTTACCTCTCCTAAACATTCATGTAAATGGCATCATTCGTGTGTACTCTTTTGTGTCTGGCTTCTTTTGCTCAGCATGAGACTTACCCATATTGTTATGGATGTCAATAGTTTATTCTTTTTTAAAAAGTTGATGAATAGTAATCCATTATGTGAATAAACTAGTTTGTTTATCCACTCATCTGTTGATGGACATTTGAATTTTCAGGGGGCATTACAAAAAATATTCTGTGAACATTCATGTGTAAGCCTTTTTGTGGACAAAGGTTTTAATTTCACTTGGGTAAATACCTAAGAGTGGAATTGCTGGCTCAGAGAAGTTAACTTTGTATCTGGCAAACTATTTCCAAAGTGATTCAATCATTTTATATTCCACCAGCAGTGTATGAGAGTCCAGTAGCTTTGCACCCTTGGAAACATGTGATGTTGTCAGTCCTTTTAATTTTAGCCCTCCAACTGGGGTGAAATACTATCTTGTGGTTTTAATTTGCATTTCTCTGATAACTAATGAAGGTGAGCAACTTTCATGCCCTTATTGTACGTTCTTATGTCTGCCTTTGAAAAGTGTCTCTTCAAGTCATTTGCCATTTATTTAATATGGTTTTTTTGGTTGTTTTTTTGTTAGACTGTAAGAATACTTTACATACTCTAGATGCTAGCCTTTTGCCAGATATGTGTCACAGATATATTCTCCCCGACTGTATGGCTTGCCTTTTCATTTTTTATTTACACTTTATACCACTGAGTTTCCATGGAGACATTTTATTCTTTAGTAATTCCATTATAGATTGTTATTGTAACAACCCTTGCAATTCTTCCTTATCTTTTTTGTTACTTTGTTGTCTTTTGATCTCAATCTGTTACACTGTTTCAGCCTGTTGTCCTCTCATGGCTTTTTACCATTTTTTCACAGAAGTTATATCTTCTTGTATCATAATGGGAGTGCCAGTTTTCTAAACTTGTTTTGGTTTCTGTAGTAAATTTATTTCCGAGGCTTGTTCTTCCTCTGAGTCCTTAGAACAATGTTTTCTTTTACCTTTATCCTGCAGTATTTTTTCCTGTCATGCTCATGGCTTTCCTCTCTGGTGTTTCAACAGACAGGATAAAGTCTGAGGATTTCCCTTAGCTCCATTCACTGTCCACTTGTGTGCTGCCTGAAATCCCCTCTCTGTTCAACAGATGAAGGGTTACTGAGGCACACAGCTCCTCTATCCAGGTTTTGGTGTCTCATGAATTGTCTGGTGAGCTTCTCTGGGACCCACACAGCATCTTTTTTACCCTCCCTGCTTGTTTCCCTGACACGCTGAAT